CTGACGCTGCTGCCCGGGGCTGTGCCCGCCGCTCCCGCAGGGATCCCCCGACGCCGCACAGCGCCCAGGGTTAAATCCCCCGCGGGAGGGGACCTGGCTGATGAGGAGGAGGGGCAGAGCCTGTTGCCCCCGCGCAGAGTCCCGAGGGTGGTTTGCAGGGTACACCGAGCCCGCTCTGCCCTCCGGGGGCTGCAGGCCTCGAGCTGGTAGCGGCTGCAGAGACACAGAGGAGGTGCTGGCACTTCCCACCCGGCCCCGGTGCCATGGGCAGGGACACGGTGCCAGAGTCAGGTCTCCAGCCTGGCTCCACGGTGGGTGCCCCACTCCCATCGGGGGGCTTGAGCGTCACCTCCGCTGTGTGGAGCACTGATTTCCCCTCTCCATGAAATGGACGTGTTTCAGTGAGGTTTATGGATGTAATAAATGCACAAATGGGGAGCAGAGGAGCGCTGTGTTCTGGGTAGGGATGTGGGGTGTTTGCAAGGCAGCAGAGGAGGAGAAGGGGGGGATTTTTTCTCCTCTCCGTCATTATCGCAGGAAGGTGAACAGCAGGACGGGAAGGTTTCAGGGCAGTGCAGCTGTTCTAAGATATCCCATGTATTTCACATCCTTTGGATGATTTTCCCTGACATCCTGCTGGGATCCATCTCACCACTGGGAAAAGAGGAGCATGGCAAGGCTCGGCTCATTTTCCATGAACATAGTGCAACATTTGCCCTCTCCAAACATTGTTTAGGACTAGAGCCATGTTTATGGGGAAGTGGGAGCAGGGCCCTGGACCTGTGAGGAGTGAGGGTTCAGGGAGAGCTGCAGGCTCCTTTCCTGGAATTGCACCCATAATCCAGACCCACCACCAGCCCCCTGCTGCAGCCAACCTCACTGTCCAGAGAATTACGGGAGGGATAAATGAATGAACGCTTGCGAATTAAGCAATTAATTCCTGCAGGCTCTATGGACAGTGCCTGGCACATCTGCAAACCACCCAGAGCCACTCCTCACCCCCGACACCCCTCAGATGGGCAGCAGGGGAAGCAGGGGGGGGCTCATAAATCAAAATACTATTGCAAAGTTTAATTATATCCTCATAATTGGTTGTCCTGGAGGCGGTGAGGAGATGGGTCCCTGCACTGGGATGGGTTCCCACTGCTCTCTGGTGCTCGGGGCAGCACAGGGGCCGTGCCCGCGGAGCAGGCCCCGCTCCAGAGGCACATTCCCAAGTATTAACGGATCTCTGGGATCTGCCTGTCCTCAGAGCAGGGTCAGGACCTCGGGGAATCCTGCCTGTGATGTGCACAGCTCTGGGGCAGGATGGATCCTGTGGGCACTGCAGACAGAGCTGCCTTCCTCTGCCTTCTGTGTGCTCTGATTAACGGGCATAGTCTGGCTCTTGTTTTCCCAGCCACAGAAGGATCCAGATGAAGTCTGGCTGTCCCTGATTAACCATTACCCTTCCCACACCTGTTCCCAAGGCCGGGATTGTGCTCTGCCCTGCTTTGCCACCCCTGTACAAATCACCTGCTGCTGCTGGACCAGGAGCCAGTGTTTGATGATATTTATTGAGGGCAACTGAGGATTGCTTCTTCTTCCTCTTGAATTACATCTTCCTGCTTGGGAAGAGTGGACACAGAACCACCTGGCTGCCTCTCACACCCACAGCAGATCCCACCCCAGCTGTCCCCAGGGCTCCCAGAGACCTCTGAGGTGTTTCAGGAACCAGGAGAAACATGCAGGCCATGGGAAAGCGTTGTGCTGCTCATGGGCCGAGCATGTCTTGGAAAGCCTGGCCAAGCTGGCTGCCTGGTTTAGCTGGGACATGGTGGCAGATGAAGGAAGGGCTCAGCACTGCCATGCTGAGCCCCAGAGGGTGCACCCATATGGTGCTGGACCCATAGAGAGCAAAGCCTGGAGCCCTGCTCAGTGCCCAGGGCTGTACCAGAGCTGGGGCCACAATGTTCCAGTGGCTTCCATCGCCAGGCAGCACCCAGCACAGCTCCAGCACTTCACCACCACGGCACTGCTGATGTCACACGGATCTCTGTTGATCCTGAGGTGGCCACTGGCTGGCTTCTGGCTCCTCACTGGGCACTGAGGATGCCCTATTGGCCACTGCTTTGCCTCTGTCCCATCAGGACAAAGCCCTGGGACCACACAAACAACGCTTTATTGCAGGGACAAATCCCACTGTGCCTGTCCCTCACACCAGGGGTTGGTTAACAGTGCACACAACTGTATTTTCTGCAGGCACCCCACAGCAAACCCCAGAAATGATGCCAGAACTGTGACAGGGGCGTTGGCATCATGCTGCTGTGGAGCTCCCTCGCAGCCAGCAGGGCGACAGTGATGAAAAATCACACTGGCCCTGTAATTACAGCCAGGCTCTGCTCAGCCAGTGCTGCTGCATTATTGAGAGCAACCAAAAATACTCCCAGCTCAGTCATTAACTGGTCTGGGCCTCATGGCCAGTGGCTGCCAGGACTGCCTCAGCCTGGGCTGGCAGAGGGGAGAGGGGAGAGCCTGAAATGTGCTGCAGACGTGTTTACATATCCTCCATTCCACAGGGATGAGGCCCTGGGAGAGCAGAGCACCTCAGAGAGCTCAGGATGCCGATGGGAAAGTGGCATTAGAATAACATTAATTGCCTTAGTGTCAGTGTCAGCACTGAGCTGAGCAGGGATCAGGGGAACCCATGGGGGCAGCTTTGCTCCATGCCCACACTGGGATCTGGAAATCAGCTGGAAATGGCTTGGGTGGGAAGGGTGTGAGGAGGGCACAGAGGCTGGGAGAGCTCCCCAAAGCCTGGGGGAGCCTCTACCCGTGGCTGTTTCAGGAGATGCTCTGCTCCAGGGCAGTGGTGCAGGGCAGGCTCCTCTCTGCCAGCACCACTGAATTCCCTCTGCTGAGGGGCTCCTTCCTCTGTGAGGACCAGCATGGACCTGAACCTCATCCCTCTTCTCCTCCAGGAGGAATCCCATCTTTTCCTGGAAGCTGGCCTGTGCCCAGCTTGCTCAGCCAAGCTGTGAGTGCTCTTGACCAGACATGGGGTGGCTGTGCCCATGCCAGATGTGCTTGTGTGCAGCCAGATGTGTGGGTGCTCAGATCAAGATGCACATTGGAGGAGTCCAAGGAGGAGGTAACCCACACCTGCAACAACCACAACACCTTGGGCTGATTTTCCTCCAAAGCCCAAAAAGAACCCCAAAAGATACCAGAAAAAAAAAGTGTTTTTTCTATTTTCTGAGCCAATTTTCATCAGAAAGGAGTTTAATGGAACATGGTTAGCCCACAGGTGTGTGGCCAGGCACAGTGCCCGCCTTGCAAACTGTCTGTTTGCCAGAACATCCCCTCCTGGGTCATTGCCCTGGTGAGCATGGCAGTGACCGGCAGGGCAGTGACTGGAGGGGACATGAAAGGCTTGGCCAGGACAGTGACAGTGACATCTTCCTCTACCGTGTGTCACCACAAGGGAGCACAGAGCAAAGGTGACTCAGCAGCACGGGCAGGGGACAGTCACCATCTCCCCAGTGCTCCTGCCGGCTCTCACAGGACTCCCAGTGCCCAGGACAGCTCTGTCACACAGCGGGGACAGGAGCGCCCAGTCAGGACAAAGCAGCGCCTCTGGGTCCCTGAGCAGCCCGGAGCCCTTTGTGCTCAGGCAGGGCAGAACACAACAGCTTTGGGCTCTGCTCTGCTCTCTGCTCAGCCTCCTCCCTGGAATTCCTTCGTTTCTTTCCCTGCTCGGCAGCACAGTGAGGATGGATGCTGGATTTTCTGGGATACTTTTCACCCTCCTCCTCCTCTTCATCCTGTGGCTCCTGGTCTGGAGGAGTGACACGAAGAGGAGCCGGCTGCCTCCTGGCCCAGCCCCATGGCCCATCCTGGGTAACCTGTGGCAGAAAGATGTCCTGCCCCTCTACAGACACTACGAGAAGGTAAGGGACAAATGGCCGTGCTGGACCCATTGGCAGCCCCAGCAGGACAGACAGCAGGAAAGTTCCATGCCAAAACAAAAAGGGAATCCCACAGGTGACTCTTCCTACCTTTCTTTTCTCTTCTCCCCTCCCTCATCTCTTGCTCTATGGGAGGAATTGCTTAAATCCCTTCTGTTGGGGGCAGACTCAACCCTGTTATCCAAGCCTTTCTCCTGCAAGGGACCCATGTGGTGACAGTGCCCCTGCACCCTCTACAGTGCTGCCGCTGTCCAGAGATGGTGCTTTGAACCCCCCAATGTGTCACTGGAATAAAACCCCCAGGGACAGGGACAGGGTGCAGGATGAGGTCACAGCTTTGAGGGAGGCGCTTCCCCTCCCTGCTGGGCATTCACCATGCTGTGGGCTCGCGTCCCAGTTTGAAATGGAGTGAATGAACTGGTGTGGGACCCTGGCTCACAGAGCTGCTCGTCCCCCCAGCTCAGCAGCACCTACGGCCCGATCTTCACTGTGTGGCTGGGGCTGAAGCCAGTGGTGGTGCTCTGCGGGTATGAGGCAGTGAAGGATGCCCTGGTGGGACACTCCGAGGAGTTTGGGGGCAGACCTGAGATCCCTGCCCTGAAGCATCTCTCCAAAGGCTATGGTGAGTGCCTGGATCTCTCTTGGATCTCTGGGTGAGCAGATGGCCAAGGCTGAGTCTAAGGAAGAGCTCAGCACCCAAGACCTCCAACACCCATTTCCCACTCTTCAAGACCTTTCAACTCCTAAGCCCCTTGTCAAGGACAGTATTAATTCCAGTTAGGCAGTTCCATCTTTGTTTTGAGTCGCTGCAAAGATCTTCATCCCTTCATGGACACTGCACACCTGCACTGTTCCTTGGTTTATTGCCCTGTTACTCCTCAGCCTGGCTCCGACCAGGGTTCCCATTCCTGGGGAGCAGCAGGGTGGCCAGGGGCTGATCTCCTCCGTGTCCCTCCAGGATTTCTCTCCAACAACGAGAAGAAGTGGCGGGAGCTGCGGAGGTTCACGCTCAGCACCCTGCGGGACTTTGGGATGGGGAAGAGCTCCATGTCCCAGAAGGTGCAGCAGGAAGCTCAGCACCTGGTAGAGCTGCTGGCAAAGCTCAGAGGTGACGTGGTCCTATCCTTGCTGGCCCTGTGGCAGGCAGAGGACATACAAGAGCCCCATGGGACATGGGTGGCCCCAGAGCTGTTTGCAGGGCCTGGTGTGGGTGACCCCTGCAGGGAAGGGCTGAGATCCAGCCCCACCCCAGCCAGGGGCTGCAGGGATGTGCTGCAGCCACAGCTGAAGGGCCAGCAGGGAGATCCTGCTCTGAACTGGTGCTTCATTCCCTGAAGGGGAACAGGAATAGGGAAGAGAACTGTGTGGGCCTAGGAATGCACAGCTAGGACACTGTCCCAGTGACCCGGGGTTATCAGGGTGACTTCCTCCCCTCCAACAATACCCTGCCAGTGCCCACACATCTCCTGGGGCTTCCTGCAGATGCCTGCACTTCCCTCAGCCCAAGCTATGGGCAGGCTTTAGGGGCAGGGAGAAGGATGGAGGAGCCCACGGCTCAGGAGGGCTCTTTGCTGTGGCTGTCAGGCCCAGCAGATCAGCCAGAATCAGGGCCTTGGAGCAAGGGGGAAGGGGTGTTCTTTGTCTTGAAGCAGATAAATAACTGGTATCTTTTGGATGCTTTTCTCACCTCTTGTGGCTGCAGGCAATGCCTTTGAGCCAATGATCATGTTCAGATACGCAGTTGCCAATGTGATCTGCTCCGTGGTCTTCGGCAGCCGCTACAGCTACAGCGATGCGGCTTTCCTGGAGCTGATCAATGCCATTGGGAACTACATCAGCTTCTTCCTGTCCCCCCTTGCCAAGGTGGTAGCCTGGTGTGCTCAGCACCCTCTGCCTGCTGCCCTAGGGGGCTGAGGAAGCTCCCTGGCTCTGGTGGGACAAAGCAGGAACCTGAGCCCTGCCGTGCCCTGTCCCCACACAGGTGTACAACACCTTTCCCAGCATCATGCACCGGCTCCCAGGGCCTCACCAGAAAGTCCTGGCTGACTGCCAGAAGCTGAAGGACCACATCCGGGAGAAGGTGCAGTTCCACCACCTGACTCTGGACTCCAGCTGCCCCCGGGACTACATCGACTGTTTCCTGATGAGAGCAGAGAAGGTAGAGGGGGGCTGCCCTCCAGCCTGGCTGCAGCCTGGAGCATCACCCAGACAGCACTGAATACCACCCCACCACACCTTCTTGCAGGAGAAGGGCAGCCCAGAGACCATGTACAGCCATGAAGACCTGATCATGTCAGTGTTCAACCTGTTCGGCGCTGGCACGGTGACAACCGGCAACACCCTGGTGTTCTTCCTGCTGATGCTGGCAAAGCACCCCCACATCCAAGGTACGCCAGCAAAACACAGCTGCTCCTGTGCCTGGGGTGCTCACAGGGCAGAGGGTCCCAGGCCTGGAGGGTCCCATTTGGGGGCAGACCCAAATCATCCTGTGAGGTCACCCAAGGATGGGAGCCATTAGATGGATTCCCACAGGCCAGGTGCTTCTCCCTGTGCCCCATCCCTGCCTGTGCAGATGTCCCTGAACTGGCCTGTGGGAGATGCTCTGAGCTTGCCTGATGCAGGGAGGGATGAGGACAGAGGCTCTTTTCTGGGCTCTACAAGGGATTAGGTTGCTGCCCCTCTAGCCCATCCCAGGGTTTGGGATAAGTGTCTGTGGAGGTCAGTAAGAAACTCTGGGGAGGTTGCACAGCAGCACCCAGCCCCCCCTGCTGTCCCCAGCCAAGGTCCAGGAGGAAATTGATGCCGTGGTGGGCACTGGCCGTGCCCCCAGCACAGAGGACAAGCTGCGGATGCCCTACACCAACGCTGTGATCCACGAGCTGCAGCGCTACCACAAGGTGCGCATCGAGAACTTCCCGCGCATGACGACGCAGGATGTCCTGTTCAGGGGCTACTCCATCCCCAAGGTATGACACAGGCTGGCCCCGGAGCCTCTGCCACCAGCGGGCTTTGACCGACATTTGCCTTTGTCCCTGGACTGTTTGCACACATCTGAAGGTCCCGGCTCTTTCCCAATCCTCAGTAGCAATAATGTTTCAGAGGGGAGCAGAGGCAGGTGAATGTCACTGCCTGTCCTGCCCACACCCCGTGTCGCTCCCTTGCTCATCCTGGCAAACAGCTCTTCCCACCATGGAGTCGTGCAGGGCTGCAGGGCCGGAACAGGAGCCCACCCTGGGGTGGGGCCAGGCCAGACCCCACCACCCCTCAGCAGATTTGGGGACAGCCACCTCTCCTGGTTTGACCATGGGCATTGTGTGCAAAATCCATCCTGAGGGAACATCTCCTGCCTTTGGATTTGGGGCAGTTTCACAGGAGTAACTCAGTAATTTGTGTCTTATGAGTTGCACAGAGACTGGCAGGACCAGAGGGACATCAGACCCCCACGTCAGTTGTCCCAGTGGCACAGAGCCACCATTCCAGGCTGCCTCCCCATGGGAACCTGCTTGGTATTGGGGTGTCCACCCAGCCTCCCCCGTGTCCCTGGATGCTCCCCCTGGACTAATCCACTCCAGCAGAGCCCGTGGCGTGGTCCTGATGTCCCTCCTTACATGCCTGCCCCATCCCTCTCCTACAGGGCACTCCTGTTATTCCGGTACTTTCCTCTGTGCATTCGGATCCAACCCAGTGGGAGAACCCTGGAAAAGTGGATCCCACACACTTCTTGGATGAAAAGGGCGAGTTCAGGAAGCGCGAGGCCTTCATGGCGTTCTCAGTAGGTCAGTGCTTCCCAAGCACAGACACCCAGTGCCAGCACTGTGCTACCTCACCGCGGGCTGCCCGTCCACCCTCCTGCCCCGTGGCTCCCCAGCGATGTCACCCCTCTCTCTGTGCACAGGGAAGCGAATGTGCCCTGGGGAGGCACTGGCCCGCATCGAGCTCTTCCTGTTCCTCACCACGCTGTTGCAGAGATTCACCTTCCAGCTGGCCATGGAGCACAAGGAGCTGGATTTATTCTCCCTGTGGCTTGAGATCGAGAGGAAAGCAATCCTGTGCAAGTTCTTCGCTATCCCACGCTCGGTGTCCTCTTAAGCTGGGAGAGCGGGACAAGGAAAGGCTCTTCCAGGTGCCTCCATCCCCACCCCAGAGTGAGCCCTGTGGCCATGAGGCCACAGCCACAGCCACCACAGGAGGGACAGTTTGGGCTTGGAGTTTCTCCTCTGAGAACTGTGAGAACAGGCATCTCTGCCACCAGCTCCATGAGCAACCCACTCCCAGCCCTTCCCTGCCCACCCCAGGAGCACGAGGCAGGTGGCACTGCTTTTCCTGCCCCATCCCCATCCATGCTGCTTGAGGTCCTCATGGCATGGCTTCCTGGGGCTCCTGGGCTGGGCAGGGGCCTCCTCCATTTGGTGAAGAATTCAGAGAGTTCTGCAATAAAGATAACCATCAGAACATGAAGCCTTTGCTCAGCCTCACTACCTGAAGCCCTGGGTCAGCACTGTGCTCATGACCTGGGTGACCTCTGGGCTTCTGTGTCTAAAACCAAACACCGGCGTCCAAAGGCCACCTGTGCTCCCCTTCCCGGGGTATTCCGTGGGGCGTTCTGTGCCCATTTGTGTCACTGCCCAGCCCGGGGCTGGCATGGTGCCCTGCCCTGACTGTGGAGGGGCTTCCGGCATCCCCTGGCACCCCCCCACATCCCCTGACATCCACTGACATCCCTCAACATATCCCAACATCCCCCAAAATTCCCCGGCACCCCGACATCCCTCAACATACCCTGGCACCTGCCATCACCCTGACATCCCCCATCCCCTCGACATCCCCAAACCCTCGACATACCCCATCCCCTCGACATACCCCATCCCCCGCACGACCCCCGGCGCCGCCTGCCGAGGGGCTGTGCCCGCGGGCTGCGCAGCTCTTAGCAGCATTACGGCGCCGGTTGGCTATTACGGTAACTGTCGCCAGGCGGTGGCGGTGGCGGTACCGGTGCTGGTGAGGGTGACGGTACTGGTACATGTGCCGCTGGGGGTGACGGTACCGGTGGGTGTGCCGCTGGGGGTGACGGTACCGGTGGGGGTGCCGCTGGGGGTGACGGTACCGGTACCGGTGGGGGTGCCGCTGGGGGTGACGGTACCGGTGGGGGTGCCGCTGGGGGTGACGGTACCGGTACCGGTGGGTGTGCCGCTGGGGGTGACGGTACCGGTGGGG